CCGTGTTGGGGCTGTGCTGGGGGCCACGGCTGCTCAGTGCCACACTCACCTCGCCCAGAAGCAGGACCCTTCTCCAGACACACTCCCAAAGCCTCTCTCCTTCATCCCAGCGTCTCCTGGCCAGCCCACTCTGGCACCAGCAGCAGCAGCACCACAGAGCCTGCCAGCCCCAAAACCCAATCCAGAGAGCTTTGATTTAACAGGCTCTCAGCAAATATTTCCACAGATTTTTAAGTAGAGGCATTATGATTTTATCTTATTATTTTATAATTAAAGCCAAGATCCTCAAACATAATAAATGAACCAACTAAAGCATCCAAGATGAAGAACTTGCTAAAGCAGAGCAGCACCTTTCCCATTTGGTTGTGGTCCAGACACTTTATGGCAGGTACTTTGTGCCTGGCTGATGTTCAACTGACAGCTTTCCAAGCATATAAAAAACTTATTAGGCTGAAAATAGAGTTTGTGACCATAAACTCTCAGGAGTACTGTCAGCATTTCCAGCCCAGGTCTGCTTTGTGTACAACCACTGGCAGATGAGGCTGCTGGGGGGAGTGGGGTGGGAGGATGGGGCTGTGTGTCCCCTCAAAAAACCCTTTTTGGGCAGGAAGGGCAGTTGGGAAAGGCTTCCCAATGAGTTCTGGGCTTTTAGGAGGTGGCATAACAAGCTTTAGCATGGCTGGTACTGGGTAAGGTGGTTGAAGACAGTCACAGGTGGAACTGTGTCCAGCTGCTCTGGGGTTGGAAACCTGGAATCACATCCATGGGAGACCACGCGGAGGCAATCTGCATTTACAACCAGTTTATATCCAATGCTTCTTTAGTTCTCTTGCTGACCTTCCACATCACGATGCAGAGCAAAGTGCCTGCAGCCATCCAAGCTACAAAGGGCCCAGGAAGGAGGCAGCAGGAATTCTCAGAGCCCAGGGAAAGCCGTGAGGTTCCTGAGCCTGCAGTAACTCTGAGTGTGACCAAAGGACAGCTCTGAGGCAGCTCCAGTGCGCAGGAGGATGTTTTACAGGATAATTTGTGGAGTCATGGGACAGAAGCAAACACTGGATCCAGCCTGGATCCAATCAGGGGTGCTGTGTGTGCAGAGGAAGGCATTGCCATGGCCCTGCATGCAGAGAGGAAGGATCTCTCCCTGTGCCCAGCTCACGGTGCTGCCAGTCCCTCTGTGGCTTAAGGACATCATCTGAGCAGCTGCAGCTGGTTGTTATTCATACCCTGATACCTCACACTTTTTGGAAATTAACTAATCCATTGCTTTAGAAACATCCTGTGGCTTTGCCAGGCTATCTATAATCTAAGTATTAATGGCATTAAAGCTAGAATAGCTGATGCTTTCACTAAAGCAAACAAAACCATCAATTTGGTGTTTAAAAATAACCAAAAGAAGCAGAGTACATCAGGATGCTCCCCAAGCCCTCACAGAGCTGGAGCACCTTGCAGCTGCAGCCAGGGAAGGGGCTGACACCTGGTGGGATTTGGGATTGACTCAAGCAGACCCACACAACTGGTCCCTGTATAGTGCTTTTCGTCTGAGACTGCTAAGCAGCTTTGCTTATTTCAATCCATTAGAACTAGAAAAGCTTTTTAATAAACTCCCTGCCAGCGTGGAATTAGTAGATGTGGGCCAATTAGACACACTAATTAGGCACTGGTTTAAACACAGATGAGGTTTGACTTTGTTTACCAGCCTCAGAGGAAGCAGCTTCTCAAAGTTCACCTCCAAAGGATTGGAAAAAGGCACGTTCACTCCCAGTCACAAGCACCTCCCCACACAAACACAGCACTTGGACTTAGGCTTTATTTTCAGTGCTCCTGCTTTTCTTTGCCTCCCCATGCAATAAAAATGAGACATTTAATCTCATAATGCAACTTCTCACTGAAAATCAATGATAAAGTACATTATCTTGCCTGCCCTGAACCCACGGCTCCAGCTTGACCTTCCTCAAGCAGAACAAAGTCCAGGGAAGCACAAAGGCTGAACTTCTGGTTTCCCAGCAGGAAAGTGTGAAACTTTCCTGAGTCTCAGGAGAACAGGACAGGATGGCCCTCCACAGCAGCCATCTGACACAGTTTGGTGTCACTCATCCCTGTGATCCCTGCAGGCAGGAGAAAGCAGTGTGTGAGCAGTGAGAGGCAGAGCAGGCTGAATCCAGCCTGAATTTTGAAGCCTCCAGTCCCACTCCAGACACTGTCCTGGCTTGTTAATGGGGGGTTCTCGTTAGGAGATGGATCCTGCTACCCTTTCTGCTGCTGAGCAGCATTTATTCTACAGGGGCCTCTGACCTGCAAGAGGTGAAAGCAAGCCCCAAAAAGAGAAATCAGTGACATCCCAATCTCTATGACTTCCAGGGCAGCAGGGAAAGGCCATGCTGATGGAAGACCCATCTCCCAAGACAATGCAAGGTAAAGATTTCTTCTTGGGTCAGGAGACCTTGAAGTAGCCAAGGTTAGCCCACCACCAGCCACAAGGAGGGCAGGGCTAGCAGAAGGGAGCACTGAGAACTGCTCATACTGTGGCAGCAGAGATGCTCCTCCTGTCCCCAGTGTTCCCAGCCCCACAGAGGGGGAAATGCCACCACAGACCCCTCCCTGTGTAGGCAGCACCTTGGGAAAGCCATGCTGTACCACCTCTGCCCGAGCACTGCTGGCTCTCAAATGCAGGTTTGGAAACAAACTGCAGGATTGGAAACACAGGTTTGGAAACAAACTGCAGGATTTAGTTGGTGATCCGCTGAGATTGATGCTGCTCCTAAAGGAACTGGGCAAGCACCTTGTGCCTGTTGTCACCCACCCAGTGGAGAGCACCTCCCAGGGGTTTCCATGCTGCAGCCTACAATGGCATGTTGGCCCAACATCTTCACAGAGGAGCTGCCTTTCAATAACAGGCTACAGCATCAGCTTCAAATCCAAATTTTGTCCAAATATCACCCAGGGACCCCAGAATTTGACCTGCAAGGCACTGCAGACCCCAGAACGCCTCCTAAAAGATGTGTGACAGGCACCCAGAGATGCAATCATTACAAGATCTTCCTCTGTAATGGAAGCAACAGAAGCTCAGTGAGCAGCTCTGGCTCCTGGCTGCAAGGTGGGAAGTCTTTGCTGACCAGTGGAAAAAATTACCAGCACCAGGTGAAGTGCATCTTCATGAGCAGGAGGCCCCCACACGTGTCTGGGGCTGGAGGTTTGACAGCAACCCTGTGAGCAGGGCTGCAGGCACACCACGGAGAACACAAAGCAGACACATTCCTGCAGCAGAGGCTCTGCCCCATGATTTAGGAGGCTGCAAGCCCTGCGATGTCGAGCAGCACGCTGACAGCTTGTGCTGATCCTGATGGATGCCGGAGTCTATTTTTTCTCCAATAACAACTTTCACTAATGGTGCTGGCACGGAGGCTCAGCAAGGAGGAGGGAAGTGGCAAGTGGCCAGGGTGAAAAAGAGTTCACAATTACAGTAGGAAAGGCCACCGTGTCCCTTTGCTGGCCATGGGAATGCTGAGGACAGGGATGGAAGGGGCTCTAGGAGAGCACTGAGTCACCCCCTCCTTCAGGAGAGCACCCACTGCACCCAGAGCAGTTTCAGCAGACACCCAGACATCTGCTTATCTTATTTTTAAACTCCTCAAGTGACAGGGTGCCACAATCTCCCCCAACAGTCTGTTCCAGTGTTTCACTGTCTTCATGGTTAAAAAGTTTTTCTTATGTCCAGTTCAAACCTTCATTGGTGCAATTAAATCCCAAAGCATCTCCTCTCCAGAGAGAGAAGCAAGATGGATGAAGAGGGATGTAAGCCCCGTTGTTTTTTCACTTGTGTGTTTTATTCCCAGCCAAAGAAGAGTTTATTTTCCTGAAAGAGATACTATCGCCTGCAACACACAACTCAGAAGTATCTTTCTATTTTTAAAAGTGAAGTATAGGAGTTACATAAAAGCTATGGTAACCAGGAATGAGAAACAGGGTCTTCAATTTGTGGGCTCTGCCTGCTACCACAGCTAATTTCCCTGCTCCTTGGGGCTGACCTGGGCTGTCCACAGCACATCAGTGCAGAGAGGCTGAGCTCACTGCCCCCCACACCAGCACAGGGTGGGCAGGCCCCACATCCCCTGTGCCTGCAGCCTCTCACCAGTGTGCCAAAGAAAGCAGCAGAAACACTGAATCTGTTTTTCTTCCTTTCTGCTCTCTTAAAACAGCGCTGGACACAACAGGCCAGACTCTGCTCTGGTAACCAGCTGAGAAAAGGATGACACAGATAAAGCAGGCAGATAACACAGACAATACAGATAACACAGATAGATAACACAGGTAACACAGACAGATAACACAGATAGATAACACTGGGAACATAGATAACACAGATAGACTGCACAGGTAACACAAATGGGTTACACAGGTAACACCTCAGCGTTCCTCAGTGCCATGGGTGTGAAGGGCCCAGAGCAGGGCAGAGCAGCAGGAGTCAGGGCTGCCCGTGCAGGGCTGGTACCACAGGGATGATACCACAGGGATGATACCACAGGGATGATACCACAGGGTACTTCGGGACAGCCGCCCAGCCCCAAAGAACCTTGCTTTTGGGAGGGCAGGCAAAGAGGGTGTAGGCACAAGAAACTCCTCCAGCCTGGGAGCATCCAGGGGCAGCTTCGGGGAGCGGGGATGTTACTGCTGTCACTGGCACGAGAATGAACCGCGGCCTCGCTAGGGCTCACCTGGAGCCGGGCGCTGCCCGGGGCTGCCAGGCTGGGAGGGCTCGGGGCACACCGGAGCCAGCCTAGGTGTGCTGCGAGCTGGAGCCCGCAGCTGCCGGTGCCCGGGGCAGCAGGAGCCGGTGCCTGGAGCCCGCAAGAGCTAGTGCCGGGGGCAGGCAGGAACCTGTGCCCGGGGCAGCAGGAATCTGTGCCCGGGGCAGCAGCAGCCGGTGCCCGGGGCATCAGGAACCCATGCCTAGGGCAAGCAGGAGGCCCTGAGCGGGACCCGGGCTCGGTGGGCGGGGGGCGGCGGCGGCGGGGCCATGCGGAGCCCGGGCTGAGCGCGGCGGCCGCCCCTCGCCATGAAGCGGCAGAACCTGCGCACGGCCGCGCTCATCCTCTGCATCTTCTCCTACCTGCTGGTGGGCGCCGCGGTCTTCGATGCGCTGGAGTCGGAGGCGGAGAGCGGCCGCAAGCGGCTGCTGGAGCAGAAGCGCGGGGAGCTGCGGAGGAAGTACCGCTTCTCCGCCGACGATTACCGGGAGCTGGAGCGCCTGGTGCTGCAGGCCGAGCCGCACCGCGCCGGTCGCCAGTGGAAGTTCGCCGGCTCCTTCTACTTCGCCATCACGGTCATCACCACCATCGGTGAGTGCGGGCAGCCCGGCCGGCGCGCCCGGCATCCCTCCATCCCTCCATCCCTCCATCCCCGAACCTCTGCACCCCGTGTCCCTCCATCGCTGCCTCACATGTCCCTCCATCCCCACGCCCCTGCACCCCATGTCGCTCCACGTCCCTGCGCCCCATCCTTCTCCAGCCCCACACCTCCAGTACCCCCGGGAGCTCCAGGGCGGTCTGGGGGGTGCCCGCAGGACAGAGGCAGGTGTCACCCTTGCAAGGCTGGGACATCTCTTCAGGCTACCTGCTAGCTGACCCTGTGGGACCCCAGTGCCTGGAGGGGGCGAGGTGACCCACGGGCAGGCTGGGGCCACCCTGTGCTGGGGGTGCTGTTATAGCTGGGGCCGCAAGCATGGACATTGTCCCAGAGAGGCAGCAGCTTGTGGGGCTCCTGCGGGAACCTCTGGAGCAGGAAGCTGCCAAAGTTGGCAGCGGTGTGGGAGGGCAGAGGTAGGGCCTGTGTCTGTCCCCTGTGCTGGCTCCAGCCAGTGAGCTGGGGGAAGAGCTGGGCAAGAATTGTTGGCTTCTTTGCTGGCCCAAAACTCTGGGTGTTTGGCTGTGTGAGATCTGCTTCATGGAGCCAAGAGAGCCACGAGCCACTGCCCGCTGCCTGCCTGCACAGAAAGCTGCAGAGACATGGGTGTCAGCTTGGAGGGGAGTGATTGAATCACTTATCCATACTAGAGCCCAGTGCAGTGGTTTGTCCGCTTCAATTTTGCAAGAGAATGAAACTAAATTGAATGAGGGTTGTCTTAATTTAGGTGAGATTAGCCACATGGGAGTTGAGCATTGTTTAATGAATCCACTTAGATTAATTCATGCACCCTTGGCATCCTGTGGGGGTAGACAGGGATCCTGTGCTTGTGCCACTGCTTGTGCTGGAATTTCAGTCAGCAGATGTGTTTTGGAGGCAGGAATCCTGAGGCTGAATCCTGCCTGGCACAGCCAGCAGCCACCTCCTGTTCTTCAGGGCAGGACTTCAGCCTTCCCGCTTGTGCTGGAATTTCAGTCAGCAGATGTGTTTTGGAGGCAGGAATCCTGAGGCTAAATCCTGCCCTGGCACAGCCAGCAGGCTCCTCCTGTTCTTCAGGACAGGACTTCAGCCTTCCTAAAGGGCTTGGGATGGTGGAAATACCTCTGGTAGCATCATCCCTCAGGACAAGGGTCGGTGGGATCAGCTGCACTGTGTTACCAGAGACCAAGAGGTGGAAGAGGGACAGGTATCTTGCAGGCCTTGCCTGGGCTCTCCATGTGCTCCCATGGGATGCAGTGTGGGGTTTGTGCTGGGAACACACATGGTCAGCAAACCACGGTGGGCTCAGGGCATGGTTCAGGTCAGACCACAGCAGGAGGGAAAGATGAACAGCTTCAGCAAAAATCCCCATCATCACCTGACAGGTTATAGCTTCATTTACATGATTTTCCTGTTGGCTGTGACAAACAATGGCTGTGCTTATCACACACCCTGTGTGATAAATAATTTCAGCCCAGGTGCCGTATTTCTCAAACACTGACATGTTAGATCTCTTTATATTGGGCTGTGCTCCAAATACCAGTTTTAATGTTATTGTAGCTGTGTTTACTCTTTCTAATTCCCTTTGTCATTTCAAAACCATCAGTCAAACACTCCTTCAACAGTCTCTCAGAGTATAACAATTGTTTTTCCACTTACTGCTCTTGTGGATCATTATCTTTACATCCTCATTGCTGTCATTGTATTATCTCGTAGCCTGGGACCTGGTGATTGCACTCAGTTATTAAGCTTGGATCTGACTGGGAGGTTTTGCCACTGCAGTCTCCTGTTTGCTCTCTATTTCATGAAATGTGGCATGCAGGCATTAAATCCATTATTTTTTGTTGTGTGAATTTGTGAACAGAAAGAGCAATTAGAAGCTGGTCCCTTTCTGCCAGCTGGCAGCTCTGAGCACAGCATGGTGAAGGACAATGCTGCCCTCAGCCCCTCAGCCCTGTCCCACGCAGGAGTTTCCTGCAGCAGGAGGTGTGCTCAGGAGCCCAGGATAACATGGTTATCCTCCTCTGGTCCTTCCATCAGTGGGTGCAGCACCTTCCCCAGGTATCCTGGAAATCCATGGGCAGCAAGGACTGAGGTGAAGCCAAGTCACCACTTCAAATAAGACTGTGGGGTAACAAGAGGGTGTTTTCCCCCATGTTCTCCATGCAAAAGTCACACAAAATCATGCAGAAAGTGAAAATACAAATAGCTGTTTGTGAAAGGCCTGGCAGCAGCACAAGAAGGAGCTGGCACTGTTCTGCAGGCACTTTCAGAAGGGAAGTTTCAGGCCCTGGTAGTTTCTTGTAGAAGCAACTCAAAAGAAAGGCTCAGATGCCTTTGGATGCCTTTGGATGCTGTTACTCCCCACGCCACGTGACTCCCTTGCACTGATTTTGTTACTCGTCCTCTGAGGTCAGGGGCCACCAATTTCTGCTAAGCTGCTGTAATTGAGGTGGGCACGGAATCGCGGGAGCCCGGAAGGTTGCAGTGAATACCTCACTGTGCCTCACAGTGTAATGGTGTGTGTCCTTGAGTCACAGCTCTGAAACTTGGGCCAAGGTGGAGAAATTAAATCTCAGAAGGCTTTCAAGGAGAGCCTTGTTGTCCTGGAGCTCCTTGTCCCCAGGAAAAGGGCTGACACAGCTGTGGTGACACAAATGCTCCCTACCCTGCATCTAAACCAACACAGCCCCTCCTCACCAGCAGGCCAGTGGTGCTTTAGGTCTGAGTGTTAGTGACACTGGAGTAAGTCTGGAGTGGGTCTGCAGAAGTCCTTCCAGACTTAGCTGCTCCTGTGGGGAGTGTCCCTATAGCACAGGGCTGCAGGGTCGCTCTGGCTCCTGTCCAACAGGCCACACAGCAAATGCTCCTAGAGATGAGACTGAAATGTGCATGTGACACTGGATGGCTTGGGAGGAGGAGGAGGAGCAGGTGACAGGGGAGGTGGCAATGCCCCTGCAAGAGCAGTTGTGGATGGGTGTGTTCCTCCCCACAGGGTGATCTGATGCTGCTGGTCTCAGCATCCTGCAGAGCCTCTGTTCCCCCTCGCCGTGGGGTTCAGGTTACCCTGCACACCTGGCACTGGCACAGCAGCCTGGCCTCTGGATTATTCGTGAGCTGCAGGAGACTTGCAGACCCCAGCCCAGCTCTAGGCCTTCTCATGACCTCTGTGACACTGGGGGCTATCAGGAGGGTAGCTTCTCTCTTTAGAGGTCAAATGAGGTTCTGCCTACATGAATGTGCCATCATACCAAAGGATGGGCATCCCATGGCCCTGTTAGCATTGCCTACAGATCTGTTATTGAGTCATTTTCCATTCTTCTCTCCATTTTTCTACTGCTCCTCTTGGTCACAGGGCAGCCTTACTGGAAACCCAGTGAGGGTCTGACACCACCTTTCCTCTTCCCGGTGTCCTTCACAGGTTATGGGCACGCTGCTCCCGGCACAGACGCTGGCAAAGTCTTCTGCATGTTCTACGCCATCCTGGGCATCCCCCTGACGCTGGTCATGTTCCAGAGCCTGGGGGAGCGCATGAACACCGTCGTGAGGCTCCTGCTCAAGAAGATCAAGAAGTGTCTGGGCATGAGGACAACCCATGTCTCCATGGAGAACATGGTCCTGGTGGGCTTTCTGTCCTGCATGGGCACCCTGTGCATCGGCGCCGCAGCCTTCTCTTATTTCGAGGGCTGGACTTTCTTCCATGCCTATTACTACTGCTTCATAACCTTGACCACTATTGGCTTTGGAGACTTTGTGGCTCTGCAGAAGAACGAGGCTTTGCAGAAGAAGCCCCCGTACGTGGCTTTCAGCTTCATGTACATCCTGGTGGGCCTGACTGTCATCGGCGCCTTCCTCAACCTGGTGGTGCTGCGGTTCCTGACCATGAACTCGGAGGACGAGCGGCGCGACGCCGAAGAGCGAGCCTCGCTGAGGAGAGCCCGCAACAACATCCACCTCAAGCCCAAAGAGGACAGCCGCAGCAGCAATGCCATTTTTCTCCCTGTGGAGGACAGGACGAGCCAGATGAACCTGATCCCGCTGGTGCAGGAGGACGCGGAGAGGCAGCGGCGCCAGTCGGCCGTGTCGGCGGCCGAGGTGCCGTCCTTCTGCACGTGCCTGTGCTACAGACCCCAGGTGTGTGGCAGCCCGGCGCCCTCCCACCCCGAGACCCTGAGCTGCCACACCAACCCCGTGTATTACAACTCCATTTCCTACAAAATTGACGAGGTGTCCCTGAGCACGCGGGGTCAGACCGGCTCTTCCCCGGGGAGCACTTTGTCTTCCAGCAGCCCTCGCTGCCGGCAGCACCCCCGGCTGCGGAGGAAATCCATCTAGGAGCACGTGCCGAGCCGTACTCGGAGCTCGAGCCTAGAACAGAGATGTCAGGTTCTTCTTACTCACTTCTTCTGTTCCCCTCCCTGCCCCCAGCAGGAGCCTCTAAACCCTGTTGGGAAATAATGATTCCTTTTTTGCAGGCACCGAGTGACATCACTAGTTTTTCTTTGCTTTTTCCTCCCAAGTAGGTTCAAACATTTGGGACTGGCAAGAGCCTCCCCCTCCCACCCCGATGTGAAGCCCAGTGAGCTGCAGGTTTGCTCTCCCACCTCCCTGCTCCCCAAAGGCTGCCCTGCTGCCCTCCCACCCTGCTGAGCCTTGGCTGTGGCTGCTGCCAGCACATGACTCTTGCTCCATGGGCTGGGCTGCATTTGCTGAGTGTCAAAAGTAAAATGTGTGTGAGCAAGACTTGCAAGGCTGGGGACTACTAAGTTGTCCCCTGGCACCAGGTGCAGGTAAGTCAGTGCCACACATTAGGTTTGCAGCTGGTGGGTGGGCAGGAGGGAATGGGCTGCAGTCCTGGAGCTCAGGACAAGGGGACAGCTTCATGGAGGAACTTCATCTCCTGTGAGCAGCCCTCTGGGTCTGAGCTCAGGCCTGTGGCTGCTCAGTGCTTTTGGAAGCTGGAGGCCCATGCACTCCCCACTTGCCCACCAGCACACCTTGTCTCTTTTACCTGCCCACCACGGGTAGGTTCTCCTGGCTGAAATGGCTGGAGGGACACTGTGCCCCATTCCCAGGGGAAGCTCAACTCCCCCAGCCCAGCCCAGCTCCAGCTCTCCTCTGTGCTGAGCCCAGACTGTACTAAAGGCAGCCCCCAGCCTCCTGAACTGCAGACACCTGCAAACAGCTTGGTCCTAAGCAGATTTTTTTTTTCTTAGCTAAAATCACCCCTTCCTTCCCCACCTTTCCTCCAGCTGGCAGCCCAGCAGCTGTGCTGGCTCCTCACCTCCTCCCAGTCCCTGTGAGCCCAAGGGTTTGTGCTTGTTGCTGCTGGGGTTATCTGAGGTGGGGGTGGTCCCATCTCCACGTTCATCCCCCTGTGGGATGTGGTACCTGCACAGCCACGCCTGGGCAGCTCTTTCCAGCTGGTGACCCCAGCGTGGCCTTTGTCCATCCTGTCTCATCTGCATGAAAGCAGGGCTCTGACAGTGGCAGGAGCTCTACTGATTTTTTTTTTCTCCAATAATGGACATTTTAACTCTCAGTTCTATTTAAAATACCCTCTGAGGGGGTTTTTGTGGAGAAATAGCCCCTTTTCCTGGAGGGGAAGGCATGCAGAGTTGCCAGCATTGTGAAGGTCTCAGGGCAGGCTTTGCTCTCTCCTCCTTTTGTTCTGGGTGGCAGCTTAATAAAAGGTGAATCCATCAGGTGGTGGTTGATTATTTGTCACAGGGACGAGCAAAGGGATGTGTCCAAACCCCAAACCCCAGGCTGGCTCCCTGTGGGTGCTCAGGCAGAGAGGAGGATGCAGGTGCTGCTGGGCTGCCACAGGGGCTGGTTTGTGACACCTTCACCTGGGTGCTCCCAGGCCCTTTGGGGTGGGTGACATCCCAGGGGCTGGGAGATCCAGCAGCTGCCTCACACCCAGAGTCTGAGCCCAGACCTGCACCAGCTGGGTGAGCCTTGGTTTACAGGGGAAGGGGGAGGAGGGGGGAACAAAGCAAGCTGTGAGTGTGGAAAACAGGCTTAAAAATGAGGCTTTCATTGGCTTCTCAGCTCCTCAGTGTGTCACTTCACGCTGATCCCACCAGCTCAGCCCCTTTGTTGCCATGTCCCATCTCCCCCACCCTCCCCACGGATTTCAACCCAGGGTTTGGCTCTTGTGCTGCCCTCTGCCATCAGAACTGAGCAGATGGAAATCTGTCCCTCCTTCCACGTTGAGCCTTGGACATCCTCCCAGTGGCCAAGATGGAGCTGCACCTCTCACCTTCATCCATCGTTGTGGAGGCAAGCAGGTCCTTGATTCCTGCTCAAGTCACGTCATGGTATTGCTCTGGTGAGATCCACCCCTGGTGGAGCTGGAAGCAGGAGAAAACCTGAGCCCAGAGGCTGAGCCAGCCTTGCACTCTCCTCTGGCTTCAGCAGGGCACTGCCCAAGCTCAGTGGCTTTGTGGCCGTGTCCCAGAGCCCACCATGCAGCCATGCAAAGGCACAGCCCAGCAGAGGCAGCAGGGCTGGCGGTGTGACCTCCTCACCCTGGAGGGCAGTGCTGGTGGTGAGGTGACAGCAGCTGCCTGTAGCTGCTGCTTCCATGTGGCCTGAGCTTCCAGGCAGCACTGCTTGGCTGCTCACTGACAGCCTGAGCCCCCTCCTGCATGGGAAACTGGTGGTGGTCTGAGGGTGGGAGATGCTGGGCTGCCCCCTGACACTCTAGAGAAACCCTCCTCCTCCTCCTCCTCATCACTGCTCCCCAGACTGCAGCTGGGGCAGGTGGGAAGCTGCCCCTTGGTCTCACCCTGATGACCTGCAGAGGGATTTGGAGGCATGACAAACACCTTTTAAGAAATTCTTAGTGAACTATGACTTTGTGATCCCTCATTCCCACGGGAAAAGGCCTTGCAGTAGCTCCCCAGAGAATGGTGCCCATTCTCAGCACCAGCACCTCCTCCCACAGACCCCTCCAGCAGGATCCCCCACACGTTTCCCACCCAAGGGCTCACAGCTCCAGATCATCCAGGCAGCAGCTGCACACCCAGTAACATCTGAGGGTCTCCTTCTCTGGGGTACCCAGGCTACCCTGCACCCACACTGGATGTTCCCAACAGCCTGGGCCAGGGGTGGTTTTTTTTCTGCCAGTAGTCTTCACCTCCAGGGTTTCAAAATCACCCTTGAATGGCCAGGGCTGACCGTGAAGGGTCTTGGAAAGAAACCAGCAGACTGGGGTGGTGAGCAGAGCACAAGTGGGGGCTAAGCTGTGCCTGGAGATGCCCACAGCCAAATTACATCCAGAAGTGGCTCAGGGAAATGCAGGTTTGAAGCTGGGGCTGATTGAGGGAGCTGGAGTGACAGCCCTTCCATGGAACCTGAGACACACCAGGCTGAGCTGCTCTCATTCACCCCACGCACAAGGTCCAGCTGAAATCCTAAGTTGAAGATAATGGTGGTGACAACAGAGACACTCCACAGAAAACCTCCAACACACCATAGGAAAAAAAAAGGTTTTATTATCACCATTATCAACGTTTTCATTAGCTTAACACTGAATTGTAAATCACTTATTCATTACATATTGTCTGAATAAAACCTACAGACAGGAAAAAAGTATAGCAGAATCCTCTCCTGACTACAGACGAGTGGCCGGTGTCCCACCTTCCACCCAAGGCAGCCCAGGCACCTCGCCAGCCACTCGCCACCTGGGCAAGCAGGCTGCCCAGCTCCATTGCCTGTGTTCCCTCTGGCTCCACAGAGATCACATCTCACCAAATGATGTTAAAAACCTCCAGAAAGTTTTGGAGAGGGTTACAGAGGCCAAAAAGAGCAGATCTCAGCTGCCCCCACTCCTAGGGAAAAACAAGAGGAGTGTTGTAGTGTGCCTGCAAAGTTACTGGGTTTTGTGGAGCAATTGATGAAGTAAAAAGGTTTAACCTGTGAAAGCAGATTTCCCTAGAGTGGCCAGGCCCTGGCAGTGGGGAGCAGGGAGGGGGCAGGGATGGGCTGGGTGCCCCATCCCCAGCAGAGGCCAGCTCTGCACAGCGCCCGGGGCTCCCGGCAGGCAGCGGGGATGGATGCTCAGTGCACAGAGATGCCGTGGGCAGCCTCAGTCCCCTCGGGCTGGAATAAGGCCTCGTGTCCACAGGGAAGTGGGGACCCATGGAGGGAGCAGAGGGTGCTGGGGAAAGCAAAGGGAAGGCAGTGGAAAGCTCTCTGGGAGCTCCCGTGCTTTCCCCTGGCTGTCAGTGATGGCACATCCCGCCTGCCCGGGCTGCCCAGCCCCTGCAGAAGACCCTGGCTCCTTCCAAGGATGGCAAAGGAAGCAGTTTGAACATGGGACTGCTACAAAACGTTGGCAGGACACGGGCATCCCTGGTGGGTGGCAGGCCATGGCAGTGCTGCGTGAGGGGGTCTCAGGGGAGGCACTGCATCCCCAGGATGCCCTTTCACCGTGCAGGGAGCAGGAGGAAAACAATCCCAGTGTGGTGAGGCTAGGGGAACACACCTTAAGATTCAGCCTCCAAACCTCACTTTCCATGGTTCCAAAGCCAAAACCAGCTCCAGGTCAAGAAGACAGAACCACCAAAGAAGAGGCCAGTGTTCAGCACTGGGTCAGAAGCAACAGCCCCAAAGAAAAAACTGCTGAAGGATTTGAAGCTCCAGGCTGGTATTTAGTGGGACCTGGAGTCCCCATGGGCAGATATCCTAACATTTGGTGCCCAAGCAACTACAAAAATCAGCTCCTGCAAAGCTTGTGGGATGGCTTCAGCAAGGTGTGCCTCAGTCATTCTCTTGGTTGGTCCTGCTCCCACCATGGCTCAGTGAGTGGAGCTCAGAGCTGCCTGGGCACAGTGTGTGCCCACATGGCCTCTCTGCCAGACACAGCCCTTCCCTGCCCTACACAGGGGGCTCAGCCCACCTAACGTGCCCAGAGTAAACGCCAAGGCTGTCCATGGACCTGGCCAGGCTGGACTGCTTTGGCTGCCATTTTAGATACTGCAAAGTCACAAAGGGAAAGTCCTTGGTCATCACCTCTGTTTGCTGGTGCTCTGGGAAGGGCTGGTGCAAGGTCCTTCAATTTCAGCCACTGAAGTGCAGAGAACCAAATGCTACAAAGAAACTCTTCCCAGTTCCTCTCCTCCACCAGGATCAAAGCAGCTACCAGGGGGAAGGGAGGGCAGAGGGGGCCTGTTCTGTGGGAAGAGCTGGAGTGTGGTGCTGCTGTGGTGGGTGAGCAGCTGGGGATGGACGTGAGGCTGCCTGGGACGTGGCCACTGAGCAGAGGAGTCTGGCAGTGAGAGCTGAAGCCACATTCTGAGAACACCTAATCACTTGCAAACTCCCCGTGGAACAACTGTGCT